AAGTCTATCTGCAGGTCCTGGTATTCGCCGACAGGTGTATGGATAATCTGAAACCCACTTCCCACTGCCTTGGAATCTGTCCATGCAGTGGGGCTGTAGGTTTACTCCCTGAAATAAAATGTGGTTAGCAGAGGGAAGAGAATGGAGCAGACAGTAGGGGGATGAGGGGCTGGAGAGAGAGAGGAGTAAGGGGGGGAAAACAGACGAGTGTACCAACAAATGGAGAGAGAGACCTAAACTGAAACAGATAAAAACAATGGACCTCAGCAACAGACTAACCAACTCCCATACAAAAAAAAAACAAAACACACAATGATGCTAACATACAAGCTAACCAACCACCTTATTGGTGTGCTGTTCCTTTATACAAAGATATGGTTTACAGAGAGGAGAAAACAGAAGAAAAGGAAGAGGAAAAGAAAAAAAAAGGAACAAAACAGTAGGAATAGAATCAAGTCATTAAACTAACAGAACCAATCGAGCACACTCTGAGACTTTTAGTTTAAGTCCAATGTCCTTTTAACTCTGATTTCTAGCTGTCTTCTCTAGCTGGTAAATTAGTTCACAGTTAGGATCAGTTGCCCCTGGCCTGCTGTGAAGGACAGTTCAGATCACCGTTAGTTCGCCATTCAAATCTGGCCTGTGTCTGTTTTTCAAGCTTTTCCCCGTTTTGGTGTTGTTACCTTGAATCGCCAGCAGGTGGTGCTACCTCAGCTGGTCACCCCAGAGCAGGTGGAGCCAGACAGGAGTCGGGCAGAGGCTGAGATGGGAGCTTGCCTCAGGGCACCTGGAGGAGACCCACGGCTGGCAGGACGTCACGGTGGCAACAGAGGTGGCAGCGATCCCAGCAGATCTTGCCTGCTGGGGCTTCAAGGACTGAAGTCGTGGCTCGCCTCAGGCACGGGTGGCACGATGTGCTATGGCCGTCATGGAGGCCGTGGCGATGCTGGCAGCTGCTGTGTCTGCAGCTGCAGTGGCTGTCCAGACATTGGAATCCACAGCCCCCAGGGAGAGAGCCAGAGACCCTCTGCATTCTCCTTTGCAGAGGGTTTCATAGACCAGGCTGCCTCGTCGCCATCTTGCCAGAAGTCCTTAAGTGGGATTTATTCCAGGGATGCAAGGATGGTTCAATATATGTAAATCAATAAATGTTTTAGTAACCAAAAACCATGAGATTGGTATAAAAACAGATACAATAATCAATGAAACAGAATAGAGAATCCAAGAATCCAGAAATAAATACACATATTTACAGCCTACTGATTTTTGGTAAAGACACCAAGAACACATTGCAGAAAGGACACCCTCTTCAATAGTTTTGGGAATACTGGATATTCATATGCAAAAGAATGAAACTAAGCTTCTACCTCTCACCATATATAGAATGAACTCAAAATGTATTAAAGACTTACATATTAGACCTAATAGAAGAAGGACATTGGCCTAGGCAAAGATTTTTATGGCTAAGATGTCAAAAGTACAGGCAACAAAATAAAAAATAGATGATTGGGATTATAAAAACTAAAAAGCTTCTGCACATCAAGAGTGAAGAGACAAGTTGTAGAATGGGAAAAAATATTTGCAAACTAGTCTTTCAACAAGGGATTAATACCCAGAAATATACAAGAAACTCAAACAATTCAACAGTTGCAAAACCACCAGTAGGCCAGGCTCGATGGCTCAGCCTATAATCCCAGCACTTTAGGAGGCTGAGGCAAGTGGTTTGCCTGAGCCCACAGGTTCAAGACCGCCCTGACAGCTTGGCAAGACCTTGTCTCTACAATTAAAAAAAAAATTAGACGGGCATGGTAGTGTGTGCCTGTAGTTCTGGCTACTTGAAAGGTTGAGACAGAAGGATCTCCAGAGGTCTCAGGTCGATGCTGGGGTGGCCGTGAGTGTGTCACTGTACTCCAGTCTGGGTGACAGAGTGAGACTATGATTCAGAAAAGAGAAAAAAGAAAAACCACCAACAAACAATCCTATTAAAAAGTGGGCAAAGGATCTGAATAGACATTTCACAAAAGAAGACATACAAATGGCCAAGAGATTGGAGAAAGAATGCTCAATATCACTATTCATCAGGAAAACAAATCAAAGCCAGAAATGAGAGATCATCTCACCCCAGTTAGAATAGCTATTATCAAATAGTCAAAACATAACAAAAGTTGGCAAGGATTTGGAGAAAAAGGAACTCTTACACATTGTTGGTGGGAATGCAAATTAGAACAGCCATCATGGAAAACAGTATGGATCCAAAAATCCCACTACTGGGTATTTATCCAAAGGAAAGGAAATCAGTAGATCAAAGGGTACCTGTACTCCATATGTTCTGTAGCACTATTCACAAGAGCCAAGATGTGGAATCAACCTACATGCCCCTCAATGGACGACTGGGTAAAGAAAATGTGTATAAATGCACAATGGAATATGATTCAGTCACACAAAAGAATGAAGTTCTGTTATTTGCAGCATCTTCGATGAAACTAGAGGTCATTATGTTTAGTGATATGTCAGGTCCAGAAAGACAAATATTGCATGTTCCCACCTATAACTGGAAGTTTAAAAAGGTGATCTGCTGGAGATAGGAAGCAGAATGATATTTGCCATAGGATGCAAAGGGGCAGTGATGAAGAGAAGTTGGTTAATGGGTGCAAACATACAGTTAGATAGAAGGAATAAATTCTAGTGTTTGATAGCACAGTAGGGTGACCACAACTAACAACAGTTTATTGTGTATTTTCAAATAGCTACAGGAGACAATCTGGAATGTTCCCTACACAAAGAAGTGATAAATGTTTGAGGTGATGGATAGCCTAATTACTCTGATTTAACTGTTACACAGCTTATCCATGTGTCTAATTATCACATGTGCCACATCCACATATGCAATTATGATGTATCAATAAAAATAAAAGTGTAGCATAGCCACAAAAATAATAAACTGCATGCAACGACAACGTTTCTTAAACATTGTGGGTCAAAGTAACCACACTAAAGCACACACTGTGTACGATGCCATCAATGCAGGAAGACATATGCATCCTGGTTTACACCAATTTTACGAAATTCCCATCCTGGGAGATACCATAATCTTGGCCAAACTGGGATGGCTGGTCACCCTACAGTCATATATAGAAAAAAACAAGCAGAAGTAATCTATACTAATAGAAGTCAGGAGAGTGGCTGCCTGGGTTTGGGGGTGCTGATTGAATAGGGGGCCCAGAGATCTTGGGGGGTGCTGGAAATGTTCTGTTTCTGGATCTGAGTATGAGTGACACAAGTATATTGTTTGTGGTAACCCATCAAGCTGTACACTTAAATCTGGGGACCTTTTTATATGTTTTATTTCCATGAGGAAGAATGTTAGCAATATTGAGAGACAGTAGTTAAGCATGTAGACCCTCAAGCAGATTGCCTGGGCTTAAATCCCAGCTCTATACTAGAAATAACTGAACATGAGTCTCTTTCCTCACCTGGGCCAGGGCCAGGGGCATCACAAATCTAGATTTCCTTACTGCAGAGCTAGAGGACATATAAAGGCAAAGGCCTCTACAGAGAAGGGGATGTCAGCAGTGTTGGAGAGTAATCAGCCTCCCCCCACCCAATCCCAGGGTCCTGGCATCTTCCCAGCTTCCCTCCCTCCCTGAAGGTCCAGAAGCTTCAGCCTCAGTCCAAGAACTTGTTCTCACAGCAACAAACATCTCTAACTGATGAGAGCCATTCCCCTTTGCTGTTGAGAAATCACAGAAAAACCCTGGGTAGTTTGACAAGGTCCTCCAGCCCCAGTTTACTCCTCAGTACTATGGGGTGGACAGAAACAATAATGGCGAGTAATTGAGGCAGGGTAGCTAGTATAGATTGGGCATAGAGAGATACATTTCTTAGAGGCAGGTTTTAGGAAGCGTCCAGACATCCTATCAGCAGGCTGACCAGATATAATTCAATGTGGACTCCCAGTACACCTCACCCCTCAGCTTGCCACAGGAAACTCCATCAAGGTGGTTCAGGAATCCAAAAAAAGCCACAGAAATGCGTGGCTCTGAGGACAGTTGAGATCCCTTGTTTTCCATTGCTCTCTGCTGGCTGCCGGGGAGATGGCTGATGGCCCAGCACCAGGCAGAGGAACTCCTTCTGCTGCCCAATGGTGGGAAATGGAAACTCAAGTCCGGAAGCCTCTACCCCCCTCACCTCGCCCCCACAGTTATCATCTCCTGTGTCCAGAGCAGGAAACCCAAGATTCAAGCTAGGAAGCCTTGGCTCCACCCTGTGTATGTTTGCCCAATCCTGCACCCAGAGCAGTGAAACTAAAACTCAAGCTGAGGACTGCCCTGCAAATGTGGTTACTCAACTAAAAGCACCAAGGGCAGCTTTTAGCTTATGAACTTCTGTATTGAAAAGTCTGGCAAGTCTCCCTGGAAAAGATTACCACTCCGCCCATCAGAGGCACAGAGATGGAAGCAGATACCCTGCCTACTAATTAACATATTAATCACTAAATGGGTATATCAAACATTTTGCAAAAGCAAAACACTCAGTCTTCTGTCACCCATGCCAGCTCTAGCATGTGTCTCTTTCTTTCTCCTCTTCTTTGTGTGATAAACTTTGGTTTAAAAACTTTGCTGGCCACTCTAAAATTCATTTTAGGACTGAGTCAAAGAATCCATGAGTTTTACACAGCACCCCATGGAGAATCATAATCACAGCTAATTCATTGAGCACTAACCCTAGGCCCGGCCCTGAGCCAAGAACATTATCTACTCAAGCCTTACAATACTCTGAAATGGGCACTATGCCTCTTCCCATTTTACAGATCCAGAGACTGAGGCACAGAGAAGTTAAACAGTCTCCCCAGGGACACACAACAAATCAGGAGAAGAGTCTCCTCCAGAGCCTGTGCCCCTACACCACATTCTACCCCAAGCATGGATCCCAGGTCGCACAGTCTTTTCGTGGCCTGGAATCTTCTGGTCCCAGAGCCCTGACCCCAGTCTTGGACTTACTTTGGCCACTCCCTGCACATTGGGGAATTTCTTGGGTTCCTCCAGGATGTCACAGATGGTGTTCACAGTCTCGTCGATCTGTTTCTGGCAGTCTTCACAGGGCTTCAGCTTGTCCTGGATATATTTACCTAGCTTCTGAGCCGGCACTAAGTACAGCCGAGACCCCCAGGGTTCCATTGCTCCCAACTGGCTCAGGGAGAGGGCTGATGGCTGAGTGTGAGGCAGAGGACCTCCTGCTGCTGCCCAAAGGCTGAAAATGGAAACTCAAGTCCGGAAGTCTCTGCCCTGTCCCCACAGAGTGGTTACCACCTCAGGTGTCCAGAGCACAGAAACAAGGATTCCAGGTCAGAAGCTTTGTCCTCGCCTCGTGTGTGATTACCCAATCCTGCACCCAATCCTGCACCCGGAGCAGGAAAAACAAAACTCAAGCCGAGGACTATCCTGCAGATGTGGTTGTCAACCTCCTGCTCTGGATAAGCAAGAAACCAAAACTCATGCACAGAAGGCTCTGCCCCATCCCTGCAGCCTTTCAGTGGTTTCCAGAAATCCCTCCAGGTTAATTATGCAGACTTAGAGCCCCATTGGAGGGCTCCATATATGCTAGACGTCTGCCCTTGAGCACATCACTTGTCCTCTTGGTGCCTCCATTTCCTCATCTACAGACTGGGGATAAAGCGGTAGCTCTCTCCTAGGGTTAATGTGAGGGTTAAGTGATACCTGCAAAGTGCTTAGAACAGGGTGCTGCACACGACAAATGCCATGTAAGTGCTAATAAATAAAATTTTACAGAGTTCAAGGGGTAGAGGTCATCTTTTGAGTTGCTGGACCCTTTCTTCCTGTTCTCTGTGGCCAGGGAACTCGGACTCAAGGGAGAGCAGCAGAGAGGAGAAACTGGCCAAGAGAAGGAAGCAACTTGCCTAGGACACACAGCAAAGCAGGGATCCAGCGGGTGTCAAGTTTCTATCTGCCTCTGGGTAAACACAGATCTGGGTAAACACTGTGATCAGTGGGCAGGAACTCTGTGTGCCTGGTTTCTCAGCATGCATGTGACAAGCTGCAAGGCCTCCTGAGGCACTCCACTGACCCAGCCAGGGCACAAAACAGGCCCCAGAGTGCATGTGCTGGAAGGGAGACAGACAAGCAACTCCTGCACCCAGAGTGGAACTCACAGAGGCCTCCCAGCCAGTGGCCTTGGCCCGGGAACTATCCTTCATACAGAAGGCAAAAATCCCTAAGACGTGTGGGGGAACAGGCCCCGCTCTGCTAGGATGATTAATTCTATATGTCTACTTGGCTGAGCTGCAGGGCCCAGATATCTGGTCAAACATTTTGTGTGTGATCTTTCTGTGAAAGTGTTTTGAAGTGAGATGGACGTTTAAATAAAACTGGTAGACTTTGAGTAAAGCCAAGTACCATCCAACATGTGGTGGGCCCCAATCAGTCAGTTGAAGGCCTAAGTAGAAAAAAGACTGACCTTCCCTGGAGGAAGAGGGGACTCGGCCAGTAGACTGTCACTGACCTTGGGCTGCAACAGCAACTCTTCCCTGAGTCTCCAACTTGCCAGTCTATTCCACAATCACGAATCAATTTCTTAACCTAAACCATTACAAATGAATATATATACATCCTATTGGTTCCGTTGCTCTGCAGAATCTTGACTGAGGGCCCTGCCCATTAAAGACCTTTCCTGTCCTTATCCAACTTTTTTTTTCCAAACTGAGAGGCAGACAGACTGGGCAGGAATCTTGAAGCTCCTTTTCCCAGTGAGAACCTGGAGGCATGGTTCTCAGATTTTCCGGCTTGGACCGGAACCACACCACGAGCTTCCCTGGGTCTCCAGCTTGCACACGGCAGAGCATGGGACTTCTCAGCCTCTGTAATCTCGTGAGCCAATCCCTCCCGATACATCTCTCTCTCTCTCTGTCTCTGTATCTCTATTTATCCTAATGGTTCTGTTCTTCTGGAGAACTCTGCCTAGTAAAGCATACAGATGCTCCTCAGCTTACAACGGGGTTATCTCCTGATAAACCCACAATGAAGCTGAAATTTCTTAAGTCAAACCATTGTAAATTGGGGATAGTCTGTATGTGAGAAGGGACCCAAAAATATTTATGTATAAAAAATTGTGTATTTATTCTCACACGTTTACACTTCAGTCACCTTCAAAGTACTCTCCATTTGTTGCTAGGGGCCTATCGAGATACCCCCAAAAAACCACTGCTCAAAACAGCTTTTGAACTCCTCAATTTTGATGCCTTTAAGTGCTTCTGCCATGTTTTGTTTCACCTCTTCCACATGAGCAAATCATTTCTACTTGAGGACTGTTTTCATCCAGGGAAACAAAGTCACTCAGGATAAGATAGGGTGAATGGGGCAGGTGGGACATGGGGATCAGGCCAATTTTGATCCCAAACTGCTGAATACTCACTACAGTGTGGGCAGAGGCACTGTCATGGTGGAAAAGTCAATTGTCACCATTTTGGACGTTTTTTCTGCAAATCGTGACACAGTCCTCTCAAAACTTCCAGATTAAAACCGATGGGTTCCTAGAACACTTAACTAATGGGGGAAACCTGTACTATAAGGAGCCCATCTTCCAAAAGATAATTCTGCTTTTGGGGGGGTCCTCCCTCACATACCTAAGATAAATTAAATTATCTGTCCACCCAAAATCTCGTGCATGGGTGTTCATGGCAGCATTATTCATAATAGGCTGAAAGGATGAATAGATAAATATGGTCTATCCATGCACTGGAATACTATTTAGCAAGAAGAAGGAATGCAGCACTGACACAAGTCAGAAAGTGAATGAACCTTGAAAACGTGAAGTAAAATAAGCCAGACACAAAAGGTGACACATCACATGATGCCATTTATAGAAAATGTTTGCATTAGGTACTAGACACAGCAGATTAGTGGTTTCCAGGGACTAGGAGGGGAATGGGTTGGAGGAATAGGGAGTGACTGCTCATGGGTTTTGGTTTCCTTTTGGAGTGATGGAAATGTCCTGGAATTAGCATGATGAATGCATCTGTGACATGGCTCACCTTATGGACATGCTGAATGCAAGTCTTGTGGATGTACGATATATAAACCTTATGAATATACTCATGACACTGAATCGTATACTTTAAGAGGGCAAGATTTATGGTATGTGTATTATATCTCAATACAAATTTTTTAAAAAATAAAACACACACTCACCACCACCCTGTTTGGAGCCTGCATTTCTTAGGATTCTGTTCTGGACGTGGTCTTCACGTCCTCTGTCTGCTGACTACAGGAGATGTGAGCCTCTTTAGAGGCTACTGAGGAGGCCTTCTGTCTCTCCCTGAACTTCCAATTGCTGGTTGCTCACAGAGAGTTTTTTGTCATTCTTTTTCCCAGAATCATGGTGCTAACTACCCAATTTCACCAGTCTACTAACTTATGTGCCACCACCAGCTGTCTAAACACTAGAGGTTTTAGAGGGTGTTTTACCTTTGACTAGGCCCAGTCCCTCCTCAGAACTCTTCTCTTTCTGTTTTCCTAGCTATTCTTTACATGTATTTTTCCATAAGAACTTTAGAATCAACTTATCTGGTTCTGCTGAAAAATACCTTGCGGGTATTTTTAGGATAATCATTAAATATGTAAATCAACTCAGGGAGAGATGACATCTTTCTGAGGTCAAGTGTTTCTAACCAAGGATGTGGCTAGATCAGGAAGCCCCAAAGTTTACAGTGAAGCCAATATCCTAATACCAGCGTGGCCACCCTCAAAAGACTGATGGACTAAAATAAAATTCATCCCTGCTCGGATCAGTAAGACGTCCTCCATGCCTGGTTCAGGTGAAATCACTCTTCACTCCCACACACCTAAGCTGCCCTGGTTCCCACCATCTCCCAGTTACCCTAATTCTGGAGCTGTTTTGGGAGGGGGCAGAGTCTGTGTGTTGAGGATGGTGAGCAAGCCGATCTGGGTTGCTCCCCTGTGAGCAACTGAACTCGGAGAACTTCTCAATAGCCCAAACACACATTGTAGACCTGTGAGCACCTTCTGTTTCTGCATCTGGGTCAGACATTGCTAATCAATCATGGGATTTGTCCTGCTTCTTTCCCCTCCTGCATCCATGGCAGACATCACTAGTTAATTAGGTCACTCTTTTCAGCTAAGTGTCCATTCATTTTTTTGTTTGTTTGTTTTTGAGTCAGAGTCTCACTCTGTTGCCCAGGCTAGAGGGCAGTGGCATGCTCACGGCCACCCTAGCATCAACTTTCTGGGCTTGGGCAATCCTTCCCCCCTTAGCCTTCTAAGTAGTTGGAACTACAGGTGTGCGCTACCACACCCGGCAATTTTTTTTTTTTTTTTTTAGTTGGAGTCTCACTCAGTTGCCCAGACTGGAGTGCAGTGGCTGCTCCCGGTCACCGCAGCCTCGACCTGCTGGGCTCCGGCGATCCTTCCGCCTCAGCCTTCCAAGTAGCTGGAACTACAGGCGCGCACCACCACGCCTGGCTAATTTTTGATTTATTGTAGAGATGAGGTCTCGCCAAGTTGCGCAGGTGGGTCTCGAACCCGCCGGCTCAGGCAATCCACTCACCTCAGCCTCCCAAAACGCTGAGATTACAGGCTGAGCCACCAAGCCCAGCTCTATTTTTTAAAAAATATTGTAGAGATGAGGTCTCACCAAGTTGCCCAGGCTGATCTCAAACCCTCGGGCCCAGGAAATCCTCTCGCCTTGGCCTCCCAAATTGCTGGGATCACAGGCTTGAGTCACTGTGCCCAGTCTAAGTGTTTAAAATTCTTTTTTTTTTTTGAGTTGGAGTCTCACTCTGTAGCCCAGACTGGAGTGTAGTGGCTGCTCCCGGCCACTGCAGCCTCGACCTGCTGGGCTCCGGTGATCCTTCCGCTTCAGCCTTCCAAGTAGCTGGAACTACAGGTGTGCGCTACCACACCTGGCTAATTTTTTGATTTATTGTAGAGATGCGGTCTCGCCAAGTTGTCCTGGTGGGTCTCAAACCCGTGGGCTCAGGCAATCCACTCACCTCAGTCTCCCAAAGCGCAGGATTACAGGCTGAGTCACCGAGCCCAGCTTAAAATTCTTTAGAACGTAATGCTCCAGGCAGCCAGCACCAATTGATTGTGGCTGACAACTGAGATGGAAATTATTTGCCATCCCTGTAAAAGTGCTTGGATTTGGGAAGAAGGAGACACCACTGGGAGGCAGGGATGGGCTGCAGCAGGAGGAAGGATGGGGACTAATTTGGATGGGCAGAGAGAAGTCAGGGAGGAGGAGGGCATTCAGCAGGGGTGGGACGCAGCATGGGATACAGCAACGTGGTACAAGAATAGAATCACGGGGTGATAGAGAAGATGCAAACGCAGGTTGGTGCCATACCATGGAGTCTACACCCCAGTGTGCAGGCCACGGGAGGTAGGAGGGTGTGTAAGCTGGGGGAGAAGGTTCATGAACACACACACACACACACACACACAGGCTCATCTTGGGGACCTTGAGCCTCCTCATGCCGCGGGTTGATGTTTATCTTCTGTCCATCCAGTATGACAACTGATTGTCTGGACTCACACAGCAACCTGGGGAGTATTATGGAGGACATTGGTTATTCAGTCCTTCCTGCAGAAGCTGAGACCACATGACCAGACAGAAAATGGAAGCACAGGGGCATGCCTGGGGCTATGACTAGCCCCTGCCCCTTGAAAGGGAGTCATTTCCCTCGCCCAGCCATGCTACCCCTCCCCTCACCTGTCAAAGAGTGCTCCCTTTCACATCACAGCTCCCTCACCTTTACTGGCCATGGCTGGACAGGGGTGCCATCTTTGCCCGTGCAGCACAGGGAAGACATGCAGGCTGCAGCTTCCCTGGCCAGCAGGTCCCAGCGGGCATTGTGGCCCAAGTTGCCTGTCGGGTCTGCTGGATCCAGGATGATGGGCCTGCAATTCCACCACGAGGGTCAGTCTAATTCCTGACAACATCTAGTTGTCCACCCGTGACATTGGTGGGATTATTTTCCTTCTTCACCTAATCCTCTGTAGGGGCCAGAGGCTGGTCTCAGAGACCATTCAGTCCTCCAGCCACATGCTACAGAGCAGGTATAGAAAACAAGCTACACACAAGTCACTTTTCCATTCTGCATTCAGACAGACATTACTAATCAAGCAGAGAGCTGCTGCTTACCCATCCTCAGGTAAAGTAGGCATGTTAATCAATCACAGCTTAGTTCCACCACCTTCCCTTCCTGCATGCATGGTACAGATTCAACATTCCTTCTCTGAAATACTGGGGACTAGAAGTGTTTGGGATTTTGAGGCTTTAATTTTGATTTAGGATTATTTGTGTTATTTATTGGTTGAGCATCCCTAATCCAAAAATCTGAAGTGCTCCCTCAATGAGCTACCTTAGAGCACAACTTTGAGCATCTTGTTGGTGTTCAAAAAGTTCCACATTTTGGACCTTTTTGGATTTTGAAGTTTTGACTTATGGATGCTCAGCCCATAGACACCACTAACTGGTTACACTACTCTTCATGTGAGCCAAATCACAACCTTAGAACCTTTTCTAACACATAATCCTAAGTAGCTGGTACCTACTGAGATGCCTGAGTTGGCAAAAGCATCTCTGTTGTCTCTGTACCCATTTCAGGGGAAGGAAAATCTCAAAGAATGAGACACGCTTATGGGACTTTGTGAGTTCACAGGTAGGGTGGCCAGATTTAACACATGAAAATAAAGGATGCCCAGTTACATTTCAGTTTCAAATAAACCATGAATACACTTTTAAAGCAAAATTATGTCTCAAATATTGCATGGGACATACTTGTGCTAAGAAGTTATCACTGTCTATCTGAAACTTGAATTTGACTTGGAGTCTTGCATTTTACGGCAACCCTTTTCACAGGTGACCAGGAAAGGGACTGCTCATCTCTCAGTTGCGTTTAGAGAGGAACTCAGTTCCAGGAAGAGGGTCTTCCTGTCCCTGCTCTGGGATGGAGGAGGTATGGAGAGTGAGTGACCCAGGATCTGAGATCCTGGGACCCTGGGGGTGGACCTGCACCTGGGCTTCTGAAGCTGCAGTTTCAGGAAGTCTTGGACAATCTTGTCCTCAGTGTTGTAGTAGATGGTCCAGTAGATGCAGAGCTGGCGGTACTGGGTGACCAGCTCCAGGACTGTGCGGAAGCCCTCAGCCATGTTGAACTGGGAGTCCTGTCCACCCTGCTCCCAGGCGTAGACTGTCAGGAGTTCCAGCCCATGCTGCGGGGGCAGGGAGCCTCTCCCCTTGGGCATCTTGTTGCACTGGAGAGGAGGAGAAAGAAGATGTGTTGGCCCATAATGGAAACAATGAGGTACAGGCAGAATCCTTCTGAAGTTGGCAAACCAAGCCCTATGCTTTTATTGAGCATCTACATGTGTCAGATGCCTTGCTAGGCATCATCCCATCAAATCCTGGGGCAGAGCTATTATCACGCTGGATGACAAAACTAAGGTCCCACAGTTAGGATAGGACCCTCTTTCTGCTCCACCCATTCAGGGTCCTGGCCAGGCCTGGGCCCTGCCACCTTCCAGGGGTCTGCACTTGAGGCAGAGACCAGGGCCGGGGTGAGAGTTCGTCCCCCATGCGAACCTGCCGGTACCAGTGTTTCACCAGCCGGATAAGACTCTTGAGCTTGGTAGGGCGGGAGATAATGAAGTCCCGCTGCAGCTCTGTGAAACAGGTGGAGTACTCGCCCGCGTTGCTGTAGCTGTGGATGAGGTCAGCGTAGACTCGAGAGCTGGGTCTGGAGCCGGGGACCAGCTGGCCTAGGGGGAGAAGGTTACGCTCACTCCATCTTCCACAGCATCCCAGCGGGGCCAATGTAGACAGGACTTCTGGGATTACCTCTTGGAGTGTTTCCCCGAGGGTGGTCTGGGACCCACTGGGAGTTCACAGGGTGTTTTTAGGTGGGTCACAGATGTGACATGGCTGGCACTGAATCTGTGGTGAGAATTACATTCCCTTTTCTGCCTCCTTCCAACCCACCTGCTTAACCATCAGGGAGAAAGTCTTACCTGGGAGCTAATGTGTCTTTAATGCCTCTCTAATATTTGCTCATTTCTCTCTACCAGAGAGAGGGCAAGCCTCAATATTAAAGCCCCCTGCAGGTAACAGAACCTTGCTTGGCAAGGAGTTGATGCCACCATTCTGGTTTCGTTGTGCTTAAGGGCATTCCTTAATATTCAAACTCTTGCTCTTTGAAACAGAGAAACTGAATAGTTTAAATACATTTCTGAGCCAAGCCTGGTGGCTCACACCTGTAATTCCAGCACCAGCATTTTGGGAGGATGGCAATAGTTTGAGCCCAGGAGTTTGAGACCACTGGGCAACATAGTGAGACTCCCGTCTCTAAAAATAAAACTAAAAAACATTAGCTGGGTGTGGTGGTGTGTGCCAATAGTTCCAGCTACTTAGGAGGCTGAGACAGAAGGATCACCTGGACCCAGGAGTTCGAGGCTGTGGTAAGCTGTGACTGTGCCACTGCATTCCTGCCTGGTCCACAGAGCAAGACTCTGTCTCCAAAAGAAAAAAAAGAAAAGAAAAAAATTCTGCATGAATTTCCCCTTGCAACTTGTTCTCCACAACTCAGGAACCAGATACATTGAGACACAGGGGACTTTTTCACTCTGAAAACTCCTATCCAAACTCAGCCCTGAAGAACTATGAAGAGAGTTGTGTTACTTTTGCTCAGAGCTTTGTCCTTGGATCCTGGGCAAGCACTGGACTCAGAATAGGTGCACATATTGAGGCACTAAATGAACGGGTCCGCAGCAGGTGGGACGTGGCAAATGTTCAGGGCTGGGGATGTGCTGAGACACTTCAGTGTCTTCACTGTCAGATAAAGACACTAGGGCTCAGGGTGTGGAAACCCCTTGCTCAGGCCTGTCCAGTATGGGGGTGGGTTTGCTGAGATAGAACCCAGCTCCGGGCCACTATTAGCCCCTATAGCATCATTGTGTGAATTAGAAAAAGACACCCTTATTGCTTGAGACCAGGAGTTTGAAACCAGCCTGAGCAACATAAAGTCTTTACCAAAAAAAAAAAAACAAATAGCTGGGTGTGGTGGTTGTAGTCACAGCTTTTGGGGAGGCTGACATGGGAGGATTTCTTGAGGCCAAGAGTTTGTGACCAGCCTGGGCAACATAGTGAGACTTCAGTCTCTACAAAAAAAAATAATAAGATTAGCCAGGTGTGGTGTTGTGTACCTGCAGTCCCAGATACTCGGGAGGCTAAGGCAGGAGGAGGCTAAGGCGGGAGGATCGCTTGAGCCTAGGAGCCATGATCGCACCTCTGCACTCCAGCCTGGGTGACAGTGTGAGACCCTGTCTCCTGAAAAAAGAAAAAAAAAGAAAGAAAAAGGCACCCTTTTCTCCAGACACTTTGCAGGAGAGTTGTGATGAACATCCACATATACATGCTTGCAACGTGCACAGATGTGGCCTGGTTGTACACTGTGCAACCTCTACAACTGTCCATGTCAGCCCTGCCTCTGTTCTTCCCCTCTTCTCAGGCCTGTGCCTGGGTTCCTCACCTAGGGCATCAAAGGCTGGTAGCACATCAAAGTCCACACTATGGTCCAGCATCGTCTTGGATGTCAGTGAGAAGCTCAGCACACGGGGATTCTCCCATTTGGAGACCTCAAACTTGACCTCGAACTGCCGCTTCTGCTGACATTCCTCCAGTTGTGCTCGGATCTCGGAGATGATCTCGGCCCGCCTGTTCCCCTGCTCAGTGAACTGGCCAAAGCAGCTTAGGAACACCACCAGGTCGGCATCTGAGCGGCCTCGCAGAGCTGTGCCTTTGGCTGAAGAGCCGCCCTGGGGAGGACATGGCAGGTGGTTTAACCTTTGAAGTACAGTTTGGCATCCTCCTGCCTGTGGGCTCAGGATTCCGAGTTAGCAAACATGCTGTGTGACCTTAGGCAACTCACCTAACCTCTCTGTCTTCCATCTTTAATATGGCATGTTTGTAAGAAAAAGAAATGTGCAAGTTTAAACCCTCCAACAAATGCAAACTTTATCATTCCATTGTGTTTTGAAAGATTTTTTGTTTTTGTTTTTTTTTTAGGCCTGTGGCCCTCAAGTCTGCTGCACCTGGCGAACTTTTATAAGTGACCGATGGCTGGCTCCTATTCCCTGAGACTGTGACTTAATTTTGCCTGTGATGGGCTTGGGTATCAGTATATTTTTTAAAAAACTCTGATTCCAGGGTGGAGCTAGTAAAGCCAGGGTTGAGAACCAATGAGCTAAGTCACCCTCCTCAAGTGTTATGGATGAGGAAGGTGAGGATCAGAGAGGGGAAAATATTTGCCTGGGGTCACACAGGACTAACACCCTTTCCAGAGCTGACCCGGGTCTCACTGTGTCTCTCCAACTGTGAATGAGGCTGTGTCTAGTACAGAGGAAAATGTGATGTTTTGAACACCCCTTTCCACCTGAGATTGACATCCTAGTTTTCTTCTGGGACCACCCCTCCCCACACTCAGCCCATGGGGTCTAGGTGGGGCCCGCTGTACCATGTGACCCAGGGTTGGCCAGTCAGAGCTTGATGCTTCCCTAGCCCCAGTGATTGGTTTGGGGGTAGGTAGGTTACCCAAGCCAGGCCAGTGAGACTTAATTCCAACAATTTTTAATTTGAATTTTGAGAGAAAAAAATTCCCCTTTTTGGCAACTTAGAAGTGCCAAGGACCCACAAGGTAATGGGCTGTCCAAGACATAAGAAGCAGACCAAGAACTGGAGAGAAAAACTGAGTCCTGATGACCCTGCGTGGACTCCTGGATCTAGCTGTACCTGAAAGCAGATCTCCTCCATGGCTTTCTAGTGACATCAGTCAATACATTCCTTTGTGGCCTCTTTTGAGTGGGTGTCACAAGCAACCAAAAGAGACTTGTGGTACACCTCTGGCCTTCTCTCTTCTACCCACCTATGGTCACTTTCCGGCTCTTTCTCTATGCCTGGCCTTGTGCCGGGTGTAACAAGGGCCACAGGAGGGGCTTCTTGCCTGCAGCTCTCTGGAGACTCACCTTGACCACCTTGATCACTTTGATGGCAGAATCGCGGAAGCAGTTTTCTCTCAGGAATGAGCAGATGGTGTCAACGGCCTTATTCACCTGAGCCAGGAACTGGCGGTCGGGCTGGAGAAATTGACTGATGAACTTGTCCAGGTCCGTGGCTGGGGTTTGATGGAGGAGGGCTGGCTGTAGAGAGAGCCCAGGTGGGCCACGTGAGGCGGGGCACCCAGTGCTCCCTCAAGTCCTGCCTGCAATGTTCTCTAAGGATGAGGCTCCCACCATCTCCCATGTTCTATTCTCCCTCTCAGCTGGTGGCCAGGTCCTGAGATAGCATCAGAGGCACCTGAGTTCGAGTTCTGATTTCCCCATCAAGGCTCAGCATCAGTTTCCTCATATTTAAATGGCACAATAATAAGACCCATGTCTCACTGGGTGTTAAGCACTGGTTATGAGACCCCACAGCAAAACAGCAAATATTGGGCATGCTCACTTGTAATCCTAGCACTTTGGGAGGCTGAGGTGGGAGGATTGCTTGAGGCCAGGTATTTAAGACCAGCCTGGGCATCATAGCAAGACCCCCATGTCTACATGAAATTAAAAAATTAGCCAGGCATGGGGGCATGCACCTGTATGTAGTCTCAGCTACTAGGGAGGCTGAGGCAGGAGGATCACTTGAGCTCAGAAGTTCAAGGCTGTGGTGAGTCACTGCACTGCGGCCTGGGCATCAGAGAGAGACCCTGTCTCTATTTAAAAGAAAAAAAAATCACACCCTGTCGGGACCTGCAAGTTGCTTATGTCTCAGATTGGTTTTCCTAGTGGCAGAACCTCTGATGGGAATTCTCGGGCACATGATTAATTGGGGCAGTGCTCCAGGGAAAAGGGGAAGGGGAACAGCAGGAAAGGGCAGGGAAGAAGCTTAGCAAGGCTGGGGGCTCAGCTGGAGACAAGCCCCAGGGAGCTCCAAAGCACAAACCGCATCACAGGGCTGGTCCCACCTTGAGACAGAGGCGGGGCTTTCTACGTGTCACTCAGGTGCTGGCTGGGACAAAGCAATCTGTGCCTCTCACAGCGGACAAGTCTCTAGAGAAAGGAACAGCTGTGAGCCGTCCACAGCCAATGCTCCTAGTAGCTGGGGATTCGTGCACTGGCAGTTTAAGGGGACCTGGGAGCGGGACACCCCACCCCACCCTAGGGCCCTGTCTCTTACCATCACGTCCCAGGGCTGCACGGGAGTCCCGTCTCTATTCACAAGGCAGGCCTGTGTCTCCAGCGCTGCCGCTTCCTGGGCCAGCAGCTCCCAACTTCCCTGGCCCACGTTCCAAGTGGGGTCAGCAGGGTCCAGGACCAGGGGCCTAGGGGCAGAGCAGGTGGGCAGGTGGGAGTCAGTGAAGCAGCAGGTGGAAGGGAGGGACTGAGAAGGGGTGTGAGGGCTGGAAAGAGTGTCAAGATTTCAGGTTGGCCCAGTCTGGTCCAGGTGCAGAAGGGACCCGATTGGCTGCCTCTGTCTGAAAGCTATCCAGTTGCCCCTTAATGTGAGAAATAGTGTTTTATCATGCTAATAAAACTGGCCTTGGTGTCCTTATGGGGCTCCTTGTGATGCTCCACCTTGGGTGCTCTTGAATGTCTGGCCCCAGGGTGACAGTCAGGGAGAGGAGGAGGAGAATGAAGTGGTCCACACCTGGCTTTCCGGAGCTGCCCTAGAAGGTGCGTCCTCAGAGTTGGGTCCTCCATGCCGTAGTTGACTGTCCAGTAGACACAGAGCTGTTGATTCTGCTGGACGAGCCCCAGGACGGTGCGGAGGCCTTCGGCTATATTGAAACGGTCTTTCCCACAGCCCTGTTCCCAGGCAAAGATGGTCAGGAGCTCCAGGGCGTAGACTGGGGGCAGAGAGGCACCACAGGCCAGCTGTTCTCCTTTGTTCTGAGTTGCAACCTGTGTCACCCAAAGCCAGTCAAAGATCAGTAATGTGAACACCTACTGTGTGCTGAGCGTGGCTCTATGCACTTGGGGAAGGAAGAGGCTATATGGAACTAAACACAGAAAGAACAGAAACTTGGAGACACTTCTTATTTTACAGGTGAGTAAACTGAGGTCCAGAGGAGGGTAGTGACTTGTCCAAAGCCATACAGTCAGACAGAACTCAGGCTTGGCCTTTGCCTGGTGTCTCCCTTGAAGGAGTCTTCCCTGTGGAGGTTCAGAACATTGTGCAACTCTAATTGAGGCAGCGACATTGACCAGCCCATCCATCACCAGGCGTTATAAATATTTTAACAATAATGACAACATGGGGTGGCTGGACAGGAATGGGGACTGCAATGTATCCATGCTGGTATCTTCATACACCCTCACAACAGTTAGCAATGGTAGGTGCTCAATAGACGTTTGTTGAACACACGAGTGCATGAGTACAAGCTGCAATCAGAGGAGCATTTAGTGGGTAAGCACCAAAAGATGCTCAGAGTTTAGCACAACTCAAAAGAGACCACAGAGGAATGTATTGGCTGATGTCACCAGAAAGCTCTTATGTAGAGCTGCTTCTAGGAACTGCTAGATCCAGGAGACCATGCAAAGTCATCAGGACTCGGGTTTTCTCTCTAGCCCTTGACTCTGCTTTTTATGTCTTGGACATGTTGTTACCATATGATGGTCCTTTGCAGCACTAAGCTTCCATAATGGGGAATTTTCTTTTCTCAAAATTCAAATAAGGATGTGGTGGGAATAACATAAGCATAGGCTTGGAGGTGAGAAAAAACAAGGAAAACATAAGTAATGCAAAAAGAGAGGAGAAACAGATGAACTAAAGAGGAAGGGTGAACCCCACCTACAAAAATAAAACTTTGGACTTGATGGAGCAAAGATTTTCTCTATCTGTGGCACCCAGAGCTGGACAGGAGATGGAAGATGGAGGAGACGGTCCTAATACTTGGATTGGCCAATAAGAAGCAAAGGCAAAGCGATGTCGGTGTAGAAGAGGAGCTGATTGGCTGAGGCAGTTGCCATGACAGCAGCTGCCTCCTGGGAGGAGCTTACTCACCCGGTGGTACCAGTGTTTCACGAGCAGAAGCAGGTTCTTCAGCTTGGCTGGGCGAGTGTTCATGAAGTTCCTCCGTAGCTTTGAGAAGCAGGCTGCGTGCTCGCCCCCCTCGCAGCCACTGTGGAGGAGCCTTGAGTAGATCTGGGGATTAGGTTTGGCACCAGGATTGAGCAGCCCTGTGGAAGTTTGAAACACTCTGAGTGTGCAACTCTAATGGAAGACAGCAGCATTTATCCACCCCATCCATTCACCAGGAATCACATAACACTGCAATCAATACTATGGTATAACATTGAATAATAATCAGACTTTTTTATTTTTTATTTTTTTAGTTGGAGTCTCACTCTATCATCCAGGCTGGTGTGCAGTGGCATGCTCATGGCTTGCTGCAGCCTCAGCCTCCTCCATCAATAGCTCAGGCATTCCTTCCACCTCAGTCTCCTGAGTAACTGGGACTACAGGCACCTGTCACCATTAAAAAATTTGTTTTGGTAGAGGCAGTGTCTCACTATGTTGCCTAGGCTGGTCTTGAACTACTGAGCTCAAGTATCAATTATGTACTGGGTACTTTTCAATAATTTTCACTAATCCACTCAGTAACTCTGCAAGGTGGATAATCTTGGCCCCAGAAAAGCTGTGTAGGATAGTGATTAAGGGAATGAGCTTTGGAGAGAGACAGGCCTGGGTTCAAATTCAGGTTGTGTGATTTTTGCCTTTTTGGGTCCCAGTTTCCTTATCTGTAAAAAGGTAGACCATAATTAGCACCCGCCCTTATAAGGATATTGTGAGAATCAAGTTAAATCTACATACAAAGTGCTTTACAGCACTGCTTAAAATACATCATGTTCTCAATCAGCATTAAATATTGCTATTATTAATGTTGTCATCTCTCAAAAGGAAAAAAAAGGCATAGAGAGAAACTGGAATAGAGTTCCACCTCTCACTTTCATAAAGCTGGCCTCTGGAATAAGTGTCTTCTCCATGAAAGGTGACAAAAACAAAATCAGTCACCAGCAGAGAGAGGCTCCAAGGAAGCTTACTGCTAGGACTCTGGGTGGGGAAGAAAAGAAAATTCCCCTTGAGAAACTGAGACTCCAATTCCATGTCAGATGTGGGTGTGAAATTCAAATGTATAGTATCTACATGATGAGGAAATCTCAGACTATTAAATTAGTGCATCACCTGGCATGGGAATTAGTGAAACTCTCAGAGCCCAGGTAGAAGCAAAATGAAAACTCAGTCTCCTGCAGACTATTTCCAACCCAGAGCACAAAAAAACTTTCATGAGAAAAGGAAAGGCACTGGAGGCTTCACAAATCCCAAAGATAAGCTCACAATAAAAAATTACAAACCACATGAGGAATATAATAAATATATTCTCCATGAAAGGGAACTAAAAAAGGTCACATCACCAACCACATTATTGACCATAAGGAATAGTCAGGTGACACACGATGGGAAAGTGTGCACTTCAAAATTTTGCGATAATAGGACAATCTGAGAGACTAAAATATTAAAATGGTTAAAATGATAAAAGAAACTAAAACCACAATGAAAGAATTGAAGCCTGCGAGCAAACAGGTTGATCTGAGAAAGCCAAATGGAACTTCTAGAGGTCAAAAATAAAGTCATTAAAATTAAAAAAAAAAATAAGGATGAGCAGCAGATTAGATATATTTGAAGAGATTTGGGAAATTGGAAGACAGATCTGAAACACTGAGAAACAGACAGCCTGGACTGATAAAGAGATGGGAACAATGAGAAAAGATAGGATATGAACGATGAAGGGAGTCACCATCTGAGAGGAATTTCAGAAGCAGAGAATAGAACAAAAGAGAGGCAATAGACAAAGAGATACCGGAAGACATTTTCTCAAAACTAAGGGAACAGTTGAGTTCTCAGATTCAAGAGGCACAACATATTCCAAACAGGAGCCCATACACAGATGTATCATGTACAGATATACTCATATGTCCATACACAGACATATCAAAAGAGACTGAAGAACACTATGAACCAACAGAATGTCTTAAAAGCCACCAAGATGGAAATCAAAACAAAATGAATAAACAAACAAACAGAAAAACCAAACACACAAACAAAAAAGTAGATTAGTTACAAAATAAAATAAAATAAAATAGCAGACTGACAGCGGATTTCTCATGTGTAGCAGCAGAGGTCAGAAGATAGTAGATATGAGGGAAAGCAAGTGTCAAACATTTCATTCAAGCATGAAGGTGAAACAGAAATTTTTTAGACAAAGTCTGAGAAAATGTATCACTCATAAAACCTTTCTGAAAAAGTACTGAAAGATATATTTCTGCAATAAGAAAAATAAATCCAGAAGGAAGAACTGAAAAATCAAGAAGCAATGATTAAAACATTTCTGTTAATTATATTCATAGATTTCAACTTGCATAGACGATTAAACAAACAGAAAAAATTTTCCCTGTTATTAGTGTCTGGTATTTTAGTTCCAACATATCTTAAGCCCTTAAAGACCATTATATTATTGGCTGGGTGTGGTGGCTCATGCCTGTAATCCCAGCACTCTTGGAGGCTGAAGCAGGAGGATTGTTTGAACCCAGGAATTCAAAACCAGCCTAGGCAAAAAAGTGAAACTGCATCTCTATCAGAAAGAAAAAAAAAAAAAAAGCTGGGCATGGTGGCATGCACCTGTAGTCTCAGCTACTTGGGAGACTAAGGAGGGAGGATTGCTTGAGCCCAGGAGTTCGAGGCTGCAGTAAGCCAAGAAAGTGCCATGGCACTCCAGTCTGGACAAAAGAGTAAGACCCTGACTAAAAAAAGGAAAAATTATATTGTTGTTTGTTTCATTTTTATCTTTATGGTATTTATAAGAGGTACAATTAAGTTTAACAACACATCTTTGAAAATAAAGAATGGAAAAGGCATCCCAGGAAAACACTACAAAAGACTAGTGCAGTTCTGTTAATATTAGACAAAAGACTTTAAGACAAATAGAATTTTTAGAAGTAGTGAAGATTATTACTTAATGATAAAAGGAACACTCTAATAAAATATAATCATTATGTATTATACTTGTATGCTACCAATAATGTAGCCTCAAAATATTAAAAGCAAAGTTTTCCAGACTTGCAGGGAGAAATGGACAAATCTCCATTCAGAGAGATCTAAAAATATCTCACTCAGAAATTGATAGGCCAAATAAACAAAAAATTATCTGAGCAAAAATCATGAGCGAGATCTGAATGACCTATATAGAAGCCTGCATTCAACATTGGAAAGCAAGCATTCTTCTCAACTATGGGCAATCCAGGAAGTGCCCCATATAAGGTATGTCTGACTATATTTAAAAAAAAAGAGAGATCCTAAGTGTCAAAAGCAAACACCTGAATAAAACCCCAAAACTTTCATTTGGAAACCCACTTCCAAATATTGATGGATGAAAGAACATATTATGATGCCATAATTACAAGAACAAAATAATTAGACCTGAGTGATAATAAAATTTATACATATCAAAACATTTGCCATGCAGCTAATTTGGTTGTGAAAGGGACATGCAAAGCCTTCATTGCATCTACTAAGATTGACAACTAGTAAGCTCAGATTCTCTTCCAAAAGTTGAAAAATAAATTGTAAAGTAAACCCCTAAAATATGGAATATAATAATTATGCAAAATTTATGTATATATGTATTTTGGAGTTTGCATCTCACTCTGTTATCCAGGTGAGTACAGTAGCACAATCATGGCTCACTGAAGCCTCAAACTCCTAGGTTCAGGCCATCCTCCCACCTCAGCCTCCTGAGTAGCTAGGACTACAGGCACACACCACCATGCCTGGCTAATTTAAATTTTTTTTTTGTAGAGACAAGGTCTTGCTATATTGCCTATGCTAGTCTCGAACTCCTGGGTTCAAGCAGTCCTCCTGCCTCAGCCTCCTCAAAATACTGGCATTACAGGCATGAGCTACTGTGCCCGGCCTGAGCCATTGCACCCAGCCCCAAATTTATTTTAAAAGAAAGGAAAAGAAAAGCCAAGTGGATACATCAAACTGTTAACATGTGTTAAATCTTAATTGGGGTCTGTAGTTTTCTATGTGCTTGAAATATTTCATAATTAAAATCTTTGTGAAGTTAAAAGCCCTAAATAGGTATAAGATTTGATGGTGATGAAGACTTTAGATATCTCAAAGCAGTTTTCAATGCTTGGTCAAGCAGGGGAATTTGGATCACAAAGAGACTGGAGGCACCCCCGTTAGATGCTCCCTGGCCCATGGGGTCCTTATCACTCTGTAAGGCAAGGGCTGGGGACCCCTCACCCACGGCATCGAAGGCAGGCAGCAGGCTAACATCCATCCAGCTTTCCAGGGCTGTGGACTCCAGCTGGAACTGCAAAACCCCAGGCACATTCTGCTCAGGAAATGTAAGGCTCAGGCCAGGGACCTGCCCTTGCCACCAGGATTCCAGCTGTGCCCGCATCTCATCAAGGATCTCTGCACGGCGAGTCCTCTGGTCCTTGTAGTCAGTGAAGCAGTTGAGGAAGACGACGAGCTCGGCATCACTGCCACCCCTGAGGTCTGTGCCACGGCCGAATGAGCCCCCCTGTAGAGGGAAGAACAGCTCAGACCAGTAACCCTCTGGAAGCCCAGGAGTCAGACTGTGATCCCATCACCTGCACCCCACCAGCGGCCTGGAAACTGCTCTCATTGAGAGAGATTGTTGAGTCCAGGAGCATCACGACACAGGCAGACTGCATGAGCCCGGTGACTTCTGGCTCTTAGAAGCCTAGATGAGAGTCAGGTTATATCTGCCTGCACTTGCCTTCTGATCCACCAAGCCTGAACCAAGTCAGACCATCTGCAGCAACAGATAGCTGGGGCAGAGTGGAGAATGGGTGGTTACCCAGCATTTCACCCAAATGTCTGCAGCGCCTCCTGAAGGCTCATCTGGACCAGCAGTTGCAAATTGAGGTCCCAGGGCCAAATGGGGCCTGCAGCTGTGCTTCCTTGGTCTGCTTCAATCAATTCCTTTCCTTCTTCCCTCCCTCCTTTCCTTTCTTCCTTTCCTCCTTCTTTCCTTCTGGCAACAAATATTTATTGAGCACTTTCATGTACCAAGATATGTGTGAGTGGATAAGACACTTCTGTTTTCCTGGAATTTCCCTCCTAGCAGGGGAGGAGAGGAGTCCGGCCAGGGCACAGCAGTTCCCGAGAGACACTAAGTGCTACACAGAGACAGAACAGGGAGGGGTCTGGGAGTGCAAGCCGGCAATTTTGAATAGTGTGGTCAGGTCTCAGAGGTAGGGGACACTGGATCAAGGACCTAAAGGAGGGTAGAGAGCTGGGGGTGGGAGGTAGGAGAGAGTATTCCAAGGAGGGAAACAGCCAGTGAGGAGGCCTTGATTGGGCGCCTGGGCCTGGTGAGCTCAGGGCAGCCAGGAGGCTGGTGTGGGGTAAGTGAAGGCCGGGGAGACCAGAGCCCCATCCTACAGGCCATGAGGCCTCCGTACTCTGTGAAACCAGAGAGGATTTTAAGCTGAGGAGGGAAGTGATCTGATGATTGTAACAGCGGTTTAAAAAGCTATATAGGTCAGGCATGGTGGCTCACGCCTGTAATTCCAGCACTTCGGGAGGCTGAGGCAGAGGATCACTTGAGGCCAGGAGTTTGAGGCCAGCCTAGGCAACATAGTGAGACCTCAACTCTATAAAATATCTAAAAAAACTAGATGGGCATGGGAGCCTGCACCTGTAGTCCCAGCTACGCGGGAGGCTGAGGTGGGAGGATCACCTGAGCTCAGGAGGTAGAGGCTATGGTGAGCCATGATCTTATCATTGCACTCCAGCCTGGGCGACAGAGTAAGACTCAGACTCAAAACAAGCAGGTGAACACACAGACAGAGAAACAAACTGAATCATTAAAAAAATTAAAAATTAAAAAAACCTGGCACTTAACTATAACTTAACCAACAAACTTTCCTTCTATTGCCGCCCAGTTCCCCTGTCCAACCTTGGCTGCATTGCTATGATGCCATCCCCTGCCCACTGCTGTCCCACTGGAGTCTCCACCTTGCTCACCTTGCTGACTGTTGAGGCCTTGTGGACGCACTTCTCACGGAGGCAGCGCAAGATGACATCAACGGCCTTTTTCACCTGCTCCTGGAACTGCGGGCTCGGCTTCAAGTGGTCCTGGATGAAGCGGTCCAGCTCCTTGGTGGGGATCTGAGACAGCTCCAAGGCCAGCCCCAGCTTGGATGGGGTGTTGCTGGCTGCTCTTGAATCCCGGGAAGCTGGGCATGAGTGTGGCTTGCTCCCTGCCCTCGGGTACACAGCACAGAGGCTCTTGCTGTCTTCAGGACTCTTCTGGTGAAGGTCTCGCAGGATGGGGTGGCTCAAGCCTGAGCCCCCAGCAGGTGGAAGGCCCTGGAAGGTGTTGAAGCAGCTGCCTCACCAGGGGCAGAGGTTTCTACCTCCACCCGGCCCCTTCTCTCCCCACTTCCACCCTTTGGACAGTCAGGGTGACTGAGGCTCAAAAAGGGGAAGAGGGAGAGCTGAGGACAGCTCACGTGGCACTTTTGTGCAGATTAGAAGGTGCCTTTCTGGTCAGATAAACTGCAAAAAGGAGCCCCTTGTGGTGGGTAGAACAGGCTGGTAAGCAGGCTATCGCCGCACAAAGACAGAGGAGCTCCTTCCCATAGCATTTGCAGCTTGGTGATTAGACTGTTTTACATGCCTGCTGTCCCCACCATTCCAACCCTGTCCCATGCCACGTGGCACACAGAAGATGCTCAGGAAACACTGAACTCCTACATTAAGTACAAAGTCCGAAGGTCCTGGGGAGCCCCTCACTCACCGGCCCCTCCCAGGGCTGCACAGGGCCCCCAGCGCCCTGAAGAAAGCACGGGTGGTCATAGCAGGACCTTGCCTCCTGGGCTAGCAAATCCCAGCACCAGGCCGCCCCATTCCCCACGTCCCACGTGGGGTCGGCTGGGTCCAGGATCACAGGCCTGCAGTTCCAGAGAGACAAGGAGGTTCTGGTTAGCAAGAAGGTCAAGATCAGTGCTCTGGAGTCAAGCAGGCCTAGCTCCAGTCCCAGCTCTGCTTCTTTCCAGCTGTGGGACCCGGGGCAGATGACTCGCCTTTTCTGAACCTCAGTTTCCTCAATTGCAAAATGAGGATAACAACAGTGCCTGCTTTGATAGGCGGTTGTAGAGATCAACTTGGAGCAAAGGTTCTCAAGCCTGGCTGCACACTGGGATCCCAGGATGCACCCCCAGGGACTCTGCGTGACACCCTATGGTTGAGCTATTTCGTTCTTAGGTGTATATCCAATGGATACGTAAATGCACTGAAAAACACATGCAAGAATGTTTACGGCTGCCGTGTCTGTAAGAGCTCCAAACTGGAAACAACTCAAATGTTCATCATTAGTAGAATGGAAAACATATCGTGAGAAATTCACAAAATGGGCTGAGCATATGGCTCATGCCTATAATCACACAGCACTTGAGGCAGGAGGACTACTTGAGACCAGGAATTTGAGACCAGCCTGGGAAGCGTATCAAGACCCCATCCTGTCTCTACAAACAATAAAAATTAGCTGGGTATAGTGGTAAGTGCCATTAGTCACATCTACTGCACTCTAGCCTGGGGGACAGAGTGAGATCTTGTCTCATACCAAAAAAGAGTGATTTCACATGATGGAGTACTATACAGTAATGAAAAATAATGAACCACAGCTACACAACAATATGGATGGAGCTCAACTACTTAATGTAGAGGAAGAGAAGCCAGACACAAAAGTTCGTGTGGTACAATTCCATTTAAATAAGATTGAAGGAAAGGCAAACTGTAATAACAATAAAAATGGGCCTTACTGTGGTGCTGGAAATATTCTACCTTGTTCTGGGTGGTGGTTTCATGGGTACATGCACTTATAGACAGTCATCAAAACACACCCTTCAGATGTGCATGTTACACATCAGTACAGCGTCCACGCACAAAACAAGTGGGGCCAGGCATGTGTATATCTTTAGAAATAGGTGATTCTAATGTGCATCCGGGGCTGAATCTGCTGGGTCAGAAGAGCATGGCTCACACCCAGGCCCTCAGCAGACACGACCTGTTGTATTGTTCAGGGATGGGGCAGCAGATGGTGGGACACGAGGAAGTACCTGGGTCTCTTAAGCTGCTCCCGCAAGAACTGTCCGACGGCAGGGTCCCCGAAGCCATAATTGATGGTCCAGAAAACACACAGTTGCTGATAGTGTTGGACCAAGCCCAGGACGGTGCGGAGGCCCTGGGCCAGGCTGAAGGCATCCTTCCCACAGCCCTGCTCCCAGGCGAAGATGGTCAGCAGCTCCAGGGCATAGACGGAAGGTGGGGTCTCCTTCCTGGGCCCCTGCGGGCACACCTGAAGGTTGAAGGAAGGAATGAGAGTGAGCTCCCTGCAGAACCAGGCTGGGAAACCCCGGGCACAGGATGTTGTGTTCCAAGAACAAGGGGTATCTCTCATTTCCTTCTGGCTGGTGGCTTCAGCCAAGTGTTCAGCTTGTATGACAGGGGGAGGAAGGGGTGTGACTTTCAAGCCTCAGGAGGCAGAGAGCAGTCAGAAAGAAGCCAGGAGCAGTATGAAACTGCAGCCAACCCCCAAATAAAGGTGAGGCAGTTCTGGGGTCCTTTTGGATCGCCATTTGGAAAAGGGCACTGGGTCGTGATCCTTCCACCCCCAGAATGGGGCAGGACAGCCCCTCCAGTTCTCTGTCCCCATAACCTGACACACATGATTGTGTCTTTGCACAATGTACTTGGGGTCTCCAAGGACCAGGAAGGGACCACTTCATGCATGGCAATAGTCCCAGGCCTCTGGACAACTTGGGAGGGGACACTTCAGCTTGCCAGAAGGTGACCTACCTGGCTAGAGGCAGCTGGCAGTCCCCCATACCCGCCACCCACTCTGTCTCTGGGAAGGCAACAGACAAGTCAATGTGCACATGTGTATCCAGTACCCAGATCAAGATAGAATATTTCTAACACCCAGGCAGGCTGACTCTGTAGTTGTCCTTTTAGTAAATACCAGGCTATTAGCACTCCCTGCCCTGGAGAATCCTATTTATGTGGGAAAAACCTGAGGAAGACTTACAGATGCATACTCCTTTATGTGCAAGTGAACGAAACAGGTGCCCAGAGAAAGCTAATAACCTGCCCAGCATCACACAGCAAGAGACAGCTGAGCCAGAATTGGAATCTAATTCCTCATACCCTGATGAAGGGCCCAATGGAAGGACGGAGCCAGGTACCCAGGATTCTAGGGGGGCTGTTCCCTCATCCCCAGACACTGTCTGGGCACACTTCCCCAGAGCACAAGAGTCTGTCAACATGCATGAAGTGCAGGGGGCACCACTGAGGTAGGGGTAGGGGGTGTACACACCACATTACCTCAGACCATATATATAAAATAATCCAGATAGGGAAAAGTCCTCAATATGAAAAGCAATATGATGGAAGGAAATACAAAAGAATGATTTCAGAAAGTCAGGCTAGGGAATGATTTCTTAAGGCATACAAAGAACAACTCATTAATACATCTGATTATATTGAAATTCAAATATTTTCTGTGACAAGTGGCCCTTAAAAAAAGCAAAAGCACAAACCACAGACTGGGGGTGTCCATTGCATTATATTAGTTAAATAATCATCCACAATATATAAAGAGCTTCAACAAATCAACAAGAAGATAGCTAACCCAAAAGAAAAGAATGGACAGGGGACATGAACAGACAATTCCCAGAAAGAAATTGTGAGTGACCACTAAACATAAGAAAATATTTTCACTCTTATGGAAGCACAAATCAAACAATCATATGCCTGGAGCAGGTACCCTCCCAAGTGGCTTCACCTGGCGGTACCAGTGCTTCACGAGCAGGATCAGGTTCTTCAGCTTGGCTGGGCGAGTGTTCACGAAGTTCCTCCGCAGCTCTGCAAAGCAGGCCGCGTGCTCGCCCCCCGGGGAGCCGCTGTGGAGGAGGGTGGAGTAGACCTGGGGGTCAGGTTTGACGTCGGAACTGAGATGCCCTGTTGGCGTGAAGAACTGTGAGTTAGGAAGGGTGCTGGGACTCAGGATGGAGGACAGTGTTGGTGCCAAGCTCAGCTGGGGGTGCTGGGGATGGGTGGGAAGAGTTTGGAGGTGGGGGCATCTGGTGACAGGGGAGTTGGGGGCGGGGAAGAGAGCCTGGAGCTTCTCAGGAGGGAGAAAGGGGAGCTGCACTCCAGGATGCAGTGGGAGAGCCCCTTCCTGCCCAATGGCCAGGGGGTCCCCAGAGCCCCGGCTCGAGGAGGAACAACTGCGTTCCCAGATGGGTAGACAGGAAAGCCGCTTCCTCTGAGACAGGAGCACCTATAACCCGGCGGCTCTCTCCTCCCTCCGGTGGTGCTAGGACACCCCGCTCGTGCCCTCAATTCATTCCCTCCCAGAGGGAGAGGAAAACAATACCGAGAAATAGAAATAGAAGCCCAGGGGTCCTGATTCCTGGGAAGCAGTTGCTAGTATGCACTGAGTACATGCTGGACACTGGGCTCATTCCAGTCCCCTGACCCCATGAGGCAAGTGCAATTCTTCATCTCATCTTATAGCTCAGGAAACTGAGGCACAGGGAAACTCCATGCTTTGCTCATGATTCTGTAGCTGGTAAGTGATGGAGGATTCCAACTCGGAGCTGGCTGATTTTCCGGTAGGTGCCTTTTCCTCTACCACTCCCATGGGTATGACTAGGGAAAAGGAAACACTCTCCATCATTCCCTAGGTTGCTGTCCCCACGTGCCTGCTTGTGCGGTTTTGGGTGAGTTGCTGTATCTCTCTGGGCCTCAGTTTTCCCACTGACAAAATGGAAGATAAAACACTACAAACCTCATAGGTTTGTTGTGAAGAATTCAGCAAGATAAAACATTTAATAAGCAGTATCCATTATAACTAATGGATATGCACCCCGTGAGTGGGTACATGAGGTGTGGGGTACTAGGCATGGGGAGCGTGCCCAAAGGATAGAGCTGTCTGCCCAAGGATAGAGCTATCCTCCATATCATCAAGGAAAATAATAATATCAATAGAAACAATAAGAGCAACAGTAATAGAAGTAATAATAGCCAACACTCATAACCCTCATCATGTGCCGGGCACCTTTCCAAGTTTGTTACATGAAGCAGCTCATTAGACTCTCCCAATAACTCTGAAATTAATGACTATTATCCCATTATTGTTATTGTCCTCTTTTTGCCAATGAGGACACAGAGGTATCTGTTTAGATTAAATCAAGCATAGGATTATTATGAAGAATGCAAAGGTCACATTAATGTTTTCAAGATAAAATACAAGGCTTTGCAGAATTCTGGTCTTGTCCCTAGCTCGCTGCTGTGGCTACATGTTGGGTTGACCTCAGGATGTTTGCAGCACCACTTTAGGCAGTGGGTGAAGGAACCCAGGCTGCTTGGGTGAGGACCGAGCATCCCGAAGCCAGGGCACAGGAGGAACTGAGCTTTCTTTGTCTTCGTCTGGTACAAGCCCGATGTTTACTCAAAAAACTGAGGCCCAGAGAGGGATAGAGGCTTGCCCAGCAAGGCCACACAGCAAGTTGGTGGCAGGGCCAGAATTGGAAGCCCTGTCTTGCTCCCTGATCTTGTCCCCAACTCGGGAACTGGCAAGGAACCCCTCACCCAGGACATCAAAGGCAGGCACCAGGCTGACATCCATCCAGTTTTCAAGGTCTGTGGACACCAGTCGGAACTTCAGGACCCCGGACATGTCCTGCTCAGGAAACTCAAGGCTCAGGCCAGGGACTGGGTCCTGCCACCAGGACTCCAGCAGTGCCTGCATCTCAGAGAGGATCTCGACACGGCGGGTCCTCTGGTCCTCATAGCTCTTGAAGCAGTCGAGGAAGATGACAAGTTCAGCATCACAGCCACCCCTGAGAGCTGTGCCCCGGCCAGAGGAGCCTCCCTATGAAGAAAGAAGATAACTCAGAATTCCATACTGTCCAATTCTAGTGCCCATGTGGGCTAGCAGACAATTAAGTGAGTTGAGTGGGCAGGGAGGAGACTGTGGCCACATAACTGGAGGCATTGAAGCCTTGCAGGGATGCAGGCCTAGGGTGGCAGGGTTGACATTTTCAAGAGAAGCAATTTTAAAATGGAAATCCATGATTTTTAAACTTTGGCAACTAACTTAAAAACAAACAACCAGGCTGGGTGGCTCAGCCTGTAATACCATGCTTTGGGAGGCTGAGGTGAGTGGATTGCCTGAGCCCGCGGGTTCGAGACCTGCCTGGGCAACTTGGCGAGACCTCATCTCTACAATGAATCAAAGAAAATGAACCGGGCATGGTAGCGCGTGCCTGTAGTTCCAGCTACTTGGAAGGCTGAGGCGGAAGGATCGTCGGAGCCCAGCAGGTCGAGGCTGCGGTGGCTGGGAGCGGCCACTGCACTCCAGTGTGGGTGACAGAGTGAGACTCCAACTCAAAAAACAAACAAAGAAACAAACAAAAAAACTGCAGGTAAAACAAATTCTAGTTTGCAATCTTTGCTCAGGATGCGTACACAACTGTGGTGTGACTCATGGGATTTCTGAGACCTGTCTGACCGGTGTTTCTTTCTACAAAGTTTCTAGCCTGAGGATTTGGGATGAAAACTCCCAAGCATCATCGGAGCCTCTGTCGGATACCCATGTCTGAGATTAGACACCTGCGATCTCACTTCCCACCCACAACCACCCGGATGTGGTTGCATGTGGTCACAGATATGGAGAGGGATGCTTGGGGTGGCACCATTCACAGCTGGTCCATGGCAAGATCCAGGATTGAGCCCTCCAGGAGCAAGTCTCTTCCCAAGCTGGGGCCCCTAATTATCACAATGATTATGCCAGTCCCTTTACTTCCAGCCTCCATGTGGGGGACTGTCAACAAGATGGGAACGGTCATCGAGGTGTATTGCAGCATGAGTGTTTCCTGCACATGGTTATCTCACTTAACTTTTTGAACACCTCTGGAGCAGACACCATGATTGCACTTACATTACAAAGGAGGAACCGAAACCACAGGGATGTTGCAAAGTTGTCACTTACAACCTCCCTCCTAACCCCTATCCCCACCTGCCCCAGCCAAGAATGGCAGGGCCATGACTGGAGCCCAGGGAGGCAGGCTCCAAATCTGCACTTTTTTCCCCCCCATGCTTTAATTTACTTAAGCATCATTTTTTAAATGAAGGTTTTCAGACCCATACAGGAGAAGAAAGGATCTTAAAGAAGTCTTTTGGCCACACTTTCCCCATCCATCCCACCCCCCTTTTCTTCTTTGCATGATTTTAAAAGAAATCCAGCCAACATGTTATTTCACCCACACATACTTACCTGGGCATGTCTGTTATAAAATAGTGATTCTCAGTAGTAGGCAACGGTGTGCCTGGGACATCTGGCAATGTCTGAAGACAATTTTGGTGGTGATGATGGCTGGAGGAGCCTGTTCATGCTGGCCCCGGAAGTCATTCTGCAATCGCTCCAGAGGTTTGTGACTCCCTTCTTTGCTTTCTGGTCCAACCAGAAGCCCTGATTCATTTTGTACATCACACCCTGGATGACAGCCCTGAAATCTGTCATTCCTCCAAGGAGCCGGGTCAGTGGGGAACACCATCTCTAGACCATAGTGTGGGCTCAGGAAATAAGGTCCACAGCCCTGCCCAATTGCCACTGCCTCTTTCAAGCCTCAAGCAATCAGAAGACCATAATCCAGATCCAACCCTAAGATCTGTTCCAGACGTTCCAGGGAAGCTAAGGGTGCCAGGGCTTTAAAGGTCCTTACACTCTTGCTCCACAGAAGTCCCTCCTGTCCATCTCAGAGGTAGAAGCAGAGACAGGACGCCAAACCTCCTAGGCTACATGTCTCCCCTCCTCCCCCCACAACCTAGGAAACCACTTCAGCCTTAGGAAACCACTAGGTACGATGATGCCATCTCTCGCTCTGCTTTCACCCCTCATCCCCGACAAGCTCCAAGTCCACTCCAAGTCTGCTCTACCACACTCAGATTCCTTCCGTCCACTCCAGCACCAAGTTTACCCCAAGGGTACTGTAGTTCCAACCTGTCCCCACCCTGAGTCTGTGAGTGTCCTGAGGTCAACGGTGACAATATGGCACAGTGTCTAAGTGTCAAAAAGTGACCTGGAGCAGTGGCTTAACCACGCAGGCCTCAGTTTCCCCTTAAACAAAATAGGGACGATAATCCCCACCCCACTGAATGTGAGGATTAAATGAGATAATACATCGCATTCATTGTTGTTTGATAATTTCTCAGTAAACCAGGCTCTTCTGGCTCTTAGAGAGTACTATTATTTTTGTATCCTTAGGGTCCAGCATAGGTGAGACCCATAGTCTCTTTGAATGACTAGGTGAATGAGCGAGTGGATGAATGAATGAATGAGAGGCAGCCTTGAAGGGCACAGATGCAGGAATCAGACTCCCTGGATCTGAATCCTGGTTGAGCTTCTCGCAGGTTTGGACAGGCTACTTTGCCTCTCTGTGCCTCAGTTTCCCCCTCTCTCAAGTGGGGGCTCAGGGTACCAACCTGGCTGGGGTTTCCAGGGCACCCAGCTGGCTTATAGTGTTTGTTAAGGACCTGAGTGGGAAGAGCCCAAAGGAATCCGCCCCCCACCCTAGGCCTCTCCGAGGCGCAGGGGTCCTCCCAGCCTGCCCCGAGGTGGGGCCTCACCTTGACGGTTTTCAGCACCCGCGGGCCGAGGCGGCCCCCACGCGCTCTCAGGGCAGTGTCCAAGGCGCCCAAGGCGCGCCGTGTGGCCCCCACGAAGTCCCCGGGCGGCCGCAGCCTGCCGGCCACCAGCGCGTCCAGCTCGGGGGAGGGGGTGCGGTACACG